CCAGTAAACCAAAACAGTCCAGTGGCACCTTTAAGACCAAGTTCTATTCAGGAACCAGCTCTGGCTTCTCTGTGCGGGCAGATCTACTAATTCCCCACCCCAGCCAGTAAGCCAAAACAGTCCAGTGGCACCTTTAAAACTGAGTTTTATTCAGGTACAAGCTCTCCCTCCTCTGTGAGGGCAAATTTCTCTCCCCCCACCCCCAGCTATCAATCCAAAACAGTCCAGTGGAGCCAGAGCGGTGGGTGCTGCCTTCTGACACACTTCCGGTGATGTCAGGGTGTGTGGCATATGCAAATGAGTTATGCTAATGAGCTCCTGCAGCTCTTATTCTGTATTCGGCTACCGGTATAGCTGAACCCAAAAAAGCTGTAATTATCTGGCTTTTCATCCAGGTTCATTTTCCTATACCAAAAAGTTCTCATTTAAACCTAACAGCCTGAGCCGCCAGTCAGCCGTTGGGTTTAAATGCCTTTCTTTCCCTCCCCAATGTCAGGGAGGGGGAAAAAGGCATTTTAAACATGCCTGCCCTTTCCCTCTCTGGCATCAGCAGAAAACACCACCACTGGTGGAATGGATCCAATCCTTTAGTTTTACCTACATGGTTTCCTTAAAACATTGAAATCTCTTAGGGCATCCCTGCTTCGGCAGGGAGGGTGGGGTATAAATTGAATAAATAAATAAATAAATTATTATACCCCCCCCATAAAAAATGCATGAGGCGGTTTACAGCATCCATGAGAAACAATTAAGCTAAAAAAAGAGCACAAAACCCAGGAAAAATGGGAGTGAGGTAATTAATAAAAGAGGTAGGAAGGAAGAGTTAAGAAAAGCGAACAGCAATGGTGTTCAAATTAAAAACCAAAAATAAAACAGCAATAATAGTATCAGAGATTTAAAGGGGGCTCCAATGTACTGGGAGGAAAGGCGGCACGGTCTAGCCCGATCTCGTCAGATCTTGGAAGTTACGCTGGGTTAGTACTTGGCAGGGGGACCACCAAGGAAGGCTTTGCAGAGGAGAGCCATGGCAAACCACCTCTGCTTCTCACTGACCTGGATAGCCCATGCTAGCCCAATCTCATTAGAGCTCAGAAGTTGTAGGGTTAGCCCTGGTTAGTATTTGGATAAGAGACCACCGGGGAAGTTTAGGGTTGCTACACAGAGGCAGGCGATGGCAAACGTCTCTGGTCTTGAAAACTATACGGGGTCACCATAAGTCAGTTGCGACTTGATGGGGGCGGGGGACATGCTTAACAGACAGCAGGTACAGCACCAAGCAGATTTCTGCAAGGAGAGTGTGACAAAATCCCACCACTGTCCTACCCCTGGTCTATGTTCCCTCTAAGCTGTGAAGTTTTGTGAGCAAAAATCCTACTTTGTGAGCTATTGGTATGAAAGTTGTGAGCGAGCAATTTGGCTACTGCAGAAATTAGTGTGCTCTGGAGCCCTCCTTCCTGAGCTAAGACAAAAATGCGTGAGCCGGGGGCTAAAAAAACTGTGAGCTAGCTCACACTAACTCAAGCTTAGAGGGAACAATGCCCCTGGTGGTCACCAGCCTTGCTTCCCATGTCAGGGGCGCACAGAACAAAGCAACTGAAATTGCACATGCCACAATCGTAATGTCGGGGCATGTTCTCCCACCTGTGTCACGTACGCACCCCACAGCACTCCCAAGGCAGTTTTGTCAGCCCAGCCAGTAAGACGGGGTGAAAATTACAGCAAGGAGAGGCCGGCTCAGAACCCTTTTTTTTTCCAGCAGCCCATCGGCAAATGGCTCCTGACCTTCCCTTGAACCGCAGTAGTGTCTAAAGCTTTTACAAGAAGTCTTTTGTCTGAGATGCGGGGACGATGTAAGGGATCCTGGAAGCCAAATTAATTCTCATTACAGTGATTTAGAAAATTATAAGGGAAATGATGGCTGTCTTGAAAGAAATGCCCTGATGAGGTTGCCTTCGACATACTGGGCTTGATGTCGGGGGGCCCTTTAGAAGGCTAAATTTTCCATCCCTTTCTCTTTCCCCGAAAACTTTCACTGAAGATGGATGACAAGATAACGGGGAAGCAGGAGCTGACGTTTCAAAGGAAGCGGGAGTTCAGATAACAGTGACGCTCCACTGGCAGCAAACCAACAAAGGCATCTCTGGCACAGTCCAAAAGGGCAACATTTTGAAGCTCTGCCTACTTCAGCTGGAAAGATTTGGGAATATACTAAAAACTGACGGAAATAGAAAATGCTGGACTGGGGCTGGATCGTGCCCCGATTCTACTACAAGAGATTCCTACAACGGAGAGCCAGTAGGGTGTAGTGGTTAAGAGTGTGGGCCCAGTATCTGGATGACCCCAGTTTTGAATCCCCACCTGTGCCATGGATGCTCGCTGGGTGACCTTGGGCCAGTCATGCCCTTTCAGCCTAACCTAACTCACAGCATTGTTGTGAGGATAAAATGGAGGATAGGAGAATTGTGTAAGCCACTCGGAGTCCCCACTGGAGAGAAAGGCAGGATATAAATCAGAGGTGGCCCCATGTGTTATAGTAGTCCTGTCCAGGGCTGTTTTGGGGCAGGAACGCACAGGAACGGAGTTCCGGCTGGCTCCCAAGTTGACCACGCCCAGCAGGAACTCATTAGCATAATAGGCCACACCCAATCGCAGAAACTCATTAGGATTGGCTACATTAGGGGTGTGTGGCCTAACATGCAAAGGAGTTCCTGCTCCAAAAAAAGCCCTGGGTTTTGACAACAAACAAGGTAAACAGAATAAGAAGCAAAAGGTGGGTGTGGCTGGATGACTATTAGGGTTGCCAAATAGAAAAATCTTACCGGCGGGGGAGCGTCCTGTCGCTCCGGGAGCCAGCCGGGGACGTGCGCGCGCGCTTCCGGAGCGTCACCGGAAGTGACGTCACACGCTGGGCGGGGCCACGCCATTTGAGGGGAAAACTCTTTGTTTTCCCCTCAAATGGTGTTGCCCCGCCCCCAGCGTGCGACGTCACTTCCGGGTGATGCACACGCGGGGGTGGGGTTTCCCCCGGGGGGATTTGGGAACCCTAATGACTATACTTCTGGTAACATGGGGGTGTGGCCTAATATGCTAATGAGCTATGCTCTCATGGGTGTGGCTGGATATGCTAATGAGTTTCTGTTGTTGGGTGTGGCCTATTATGCTAATGAGTTCCTGCTGGGCTTTTTCTACAAAAAAATCCCTGGTCCTGTCCAATGTTCTCTCTAAGCTATGGAGTCTTGTGAGCAAACATTGTACTTTGTGAGCTATTGGCATTAAAGTGGTGAGCGAGCGATTTGGTGACTGCATAAATCAGTTTGCTCTGGAGCCCTCCTTCCTGAGCGAAGACGAAAATGCGTGAGCCTCAGGCTAAATAAATGTGAGCTGGCTCACCCTAACTCAGCTTAGAGGGAACACTGGTCCCGTCTGGAGGTTACAGTAGGGTGGA